TCCTTTTTAAGATTCTCTATAAACCTTGCAGCAATAAGATAGTGATTTAAATCTTTAAATCTCTGAATTTTCTATTCTGCATTAAAGTTACAAAATACCATTGCAATAATTAGTGTGATTTTATTTTAACAATTTTCAAACATGTATATTTAGTGTAGGTTAATTTAATTTGAAAAACAACTTTTTGCCAGTCCAGATATTTGAAATGTTCTATCTAATGATTTTGAGTATTTCTTTGCAGAAGATGACAGTCAGCAATACGTCGGAAATCCTTTCACGTTTGTGTTTCTCATCGCTTTGAAAAGAAAGTGATAGAAGTGAGTGATCCGGATTCGACAGATGTTTCAAGTCACATAGATACTTCAGATGCCTCTTAGAGCTCAATTCATACGGTGAGACGTTTTTCAACGTCTCTTCTAGCCGCATTGCAGTTGTTTAAAAAACCTTCTTTTATACGGATTAGAAAGTACGATAAAAGAATTACACTGTGTTACAAAAAAAAAAAAAAATTACTTTCAAACGGACCTTTCAGAATTTGTTAGTTTTGAAAAACTAAAAAAGAATTATATGCATTGAATCACTCATAGAAGAATATTACCCAAAGTTTCATTTGAGAGCTAAAGAACCAGTTTTTTTAGTATATGCATAAAACATTCTTTGTCATTTTTGGTTTGATTTTAACAATTTTTTTATTTAAACAAGCTATCCATGTTTACAATTAGCATTCTTAAATACTTTTTAACTAAATAGACAAGAAGATTTTTCAATTTTAGAAATATTTAAAAGAAACGTTATTTTATTTTTATAAATAACAAATATTTTAGGTTCTAACTTTAATGAGTTGGTACGTTCGTTTCGGTGATTATATAAACAAGATTCAACACGAAGCAATGCCTAGAAGCCATTTGGTGCACATATATTGTTACTAGAATCATATTGAATGTGGCATCGGAGCAGAAATTGTTGAGTATTTGAATTTAATTAACTTCTGCAAAATCGTGCTTTTCACAATGTATGCTATTTGCTTTACTTAGCACTACAAACCACATTAGGATTTATTTAATAATCTAAATTACACTTATAATGCAATTTTTAACTTAATATTTATAGTGATAAAAAAATATTTGTAGTGATCCTTAAAGTATTGAGTCCATGGACCATCAGCCAAAATCAGTTGAAATTGAAGAAATGTTAACAGTTTTACAAAAAAGCAGATCAAAAATCGAACCATATTATACTTGTAAGTTAGAATTAAGCAATAGACGAGTGTACAAATAAATAAATAAACAAAATCATTGTACTAATAATAATAATTTTATTGCAAATATAACCATTAATTTTGAAATCAGTTTTACTAAAGTAGGAATGTTTGCATTTGTGCATTGTTATAATATTACACTTATGATTATTGTTAAGCATTCGAAACTTGAAGGACTAATTGAAAATTGTAATTTAACGTCATATAGACAAATGAATTTAATGTCAAAGGGAAAATCAATTCGACGTCAAAATGAATTGGAAATTGTCGTCGACACGAAATTAAATTACATAAATATTATACATATATATTTAGCATAAACTCTTTGAATTAATAATATTGAATTATTTTCAGATGAAGCTTAGTCTAATGCTCTTATTATATTTATTTCCATCTTCTAATTAAGTTCATTTGACATTAATAGAATTACGTCTTTCACTGTTACGCGGATTCTTGTTCATTTTATGCTGTAAAACATGAAACGTTCTTCACAATGAACTGCCCTGTCATTTCTCATTAATAATAAAATAAGAAATGAATAAAAATAATAAGAATAATATTGTACGTCGAACTCGTATAAAAGTATTCATTTAATAATAATAATTCTCTTTATTTGCAATAAATAACAATCCTATTAAATAGTACAACATCATAAAAATACAGATAATTATAATAAATTGTAAATGAAAATAAGAAAATATAAAGAAAAAAAAAATTATAATTACGCGTCGTTTATATAATGTAAGGAAGAAAATGGTGTCTGAAAAAGTCAAATAATTGAACAAATTAAAAAATAAACAATTTAATGGTCACTAAAAGTATTTATAATATATTCTCACCTATATGTTACTTCCTATTCCAATTGAGTTGCAAAACGTCTTTACAACTCAATTTGATTCTTACCTAAAAAATAATTTAAGAACATAATATAACACAGATTTATTAATTTATGATCGTTTAAGATCGTTTAAGAAGACGCAACAATTTAATCATATACGGTTTAAATGATAGTGATCCATCCACTCCTCTTGATTCTCGCCAAGATGACCTTGCAGCAACTAAGTCTTTACTCACTTTATGCACTCCTAATTCTATTTTTGATGACATAAAAATTTAGCATATTGGCAAATTCTCCACCTCTCAAACTAAACACCAACCGTTAAAAGATATTTTTTCCAAATAACACTGAACCACCACAAATAAGCACTGCATTCATGACGCTAAAAGAATCAGCACTTCTACCTCCCGAGTTCACAGAGACATCAATCTCTCTGGAAAAAACCAAGATCCCTAATCATCATCTCTTCGTAAAATCTTCCACACTTTTATATTATTAAAATACTCGTGGTATTAATGATTCAGGACAATTACTGAAACTATATATAGTTGATTTCTTCTTCCGTATAGTTTATTTTACTTTAAAGTTATTTTTAAAGTCATTGTCCCGGCAAGCGACATTTTCAGTCTGAGGTCGAGGAAATGGCCTTGACTAGCGGAAACACAGAATGCAGTAGATTTCCCTCGGATTGTTTTCGGGACAGTCAAAGTGAAAGGTGTCGATGTAAATTTGATAAAGCGCCCTTTAACCTAGGAGTGACCGAATTATTGATTTGACGTTGATGGCGAAGCAATGCAGTCCTTAGAAAGACAGAAATGTGCCTGCTAATAGAAATTATCAGACTTGAATGAACTTGACTGGAGTCGAAGAAGATACTTGATGACAGTACTCAACTAGTTGACTTGATGGCGGTTGTTGGACTGACACGAAAAAAACAGGTATCTGACTAGACGGTTATTTCTGGACTAGTGAACTTGAAGACGTTTCCTATGCTGGCGAATTTTTAGAGAGTGGCACCTTTTATACAGTTCCCTACAATGGAACAAAATGTTAATGCCACCCACTTTCATTGCTTTTGGAATCATTTTTTGTCTATTGATTTAATTTGGGCGCTTGTGCTTAGTCCCTGTATTAGGCAGGTGAGTGACCCTATATGAGGGTGACAAAATACTGATCTGTTGCCCACGTGTAAGACGAATGTTGCTTCGGTTACAAAAAAAGGAGGATTTAGATTTTAACTTTACAAAATATTATTTTAATGCAAAATACGTCAGGAAAAATTTTGGGAATTAGTTTTTGACTTCTGAAATACCATTTCATAATGTATGAATGATTGAATATAAAAATTAGAATTCTAATAAAATTAGAAATACAGGTTTTATATTGCTATTTATATTTGAATTAAAATCAAAAGGAAACTTATATTAAATAACTTAATTTACTTTCGAGAATATGTGAATCTTTAAATGTATTAATAGTATTGAATTAATGGAGTATGCAAGAAGTGTTATAAAAAGTAGAAGTGATTAACGTCGTTCTTGGCAGTGAAACAATTAGAAAGCAATTCTAGAACAGGAGCTCGTACGTGGTTCATGGAAAATGCGTTGTCATCTGTGTCTAACACCAACATTCACCCTAGGTTCATGTATGCATATGTGTAGACTTCAACAATATATTATAACAAGCGTGCAAGAGAACAGCGTAGTACATTCATTCGTAGAACCAGGATGTAAGATTAAAGTACAAGTTTCTTGAATGAGAATTTCATTACCGGAGCATCTGTTTGGAACTTGGGTTTTTTTTTTCAAATCACCAAAACCACTTGAATCATGACATTTAATTAATTAAAAGTGCATCGATAATTGAAACACTGTAGTAATTCAAGTTAAGTAATTCTTGAATTGCTGTTGTGTAGTATGAGTTTGGTCAGTGTAGACAATGAATGTGTTTGGGATAAGAGGAAGGAAACGCGTTGATATCACGACATCAATAGAATACCATACTGATTGGAAGAGCGTTGAAGCAATTTCCTTCAATTATCACAGGCGTCGAGGGTATTGTATTGCACTAGCATTGTCGGCACAATAGATTTCTAAATATAGGTCAGGAACATTGCCATTGAACCTTCAAGAAACAGAATTTTGTCCAATCAATAAGTAAATTAAATTAATTTGTAACAAAATGTCTTGTTGAACAAAAACAAACAAAACCTTAAATACAGTATCCCTAAGATGATAGAAATGCATGCATTCATAATTCAGCCTCCAACTTGAAAAATGAGAAGTCTAAAATTTGTGAACAATAAATATTTTCTTGACATATTTGGCAATCTTTAACTGTACATCATAAATTAAAAAATCCACTTGCTTTTAAAATTGTAAGTATGGAAAAAAATAAAATTCTTTTCTTGATAAAGTTTGATAATTTATTATTCTGAATTTAATTTGCGAATGGTAGTATTTACGATTATTTTAATTTGGCGACTGATGTTATAAAAACGTTACGTATAGCATTCATCGCCTTTAACAATTCACACCTGTACCTGTTGTAAATGCAAGTACTAAAGAGTAATAATACTTTACATTTATTATTTAGCATAATTTTTCGAAAATGTTACCCAGTGATTTTTACATTTTTAATTTGTATTGAAAACTAAATACAAAATACAGTTTGAACTCAATTCAAAAATCATGATGTGACTTGTGTATGTTATTTTAAAACAAGACACCTTATTTCTAATTCAAAAAACAAGTACATTATTCAAAGAGAAATTGATTATGCATACGGAGAGAGTACTATTCAAATATCTGAAGCATAATTTTCAATGAGTTCAGTAGTAATAATTAATTCTGTTGGGTGTTAATTTAAAACAATTGTCATGGGTTCAATGAAAATAAACGATAATTACAAGTTGTATGCTCTTTATTATAAAATATGTATATTGATGAATTTTTTTTTTGTTATGTACACAATTAAAACGCATTACAATTGCGTTGGGAGGTACTATAGCGGTAACGAATGGAGATCATGGCGTTGTCGAAATAAATCATGAGGTCGCGATAATCGTAAAGCTCAGTCGGAATATTTGGGGATTGATGTGATTTTTTACCAGTGTCCTCCAAGACGATGGACAACACCAGTTGCAGCAAGACCAGCTGAAATGTGTCCCGATGGTCCAGCAACAACAACTGGTCCTCCAACTGGTCCAGCAAGAGCTGCAGGTCCTGCTACTGGTCCAGCGAGAACTGCACCCCAATTTCCTCCATGTCCATAAGCTTAAATGCCGAATACTATATTAATTATTCTCATTAATAATTATACCTTAATTCATAAATATACTTAAATCTATAATTATACTTTAATTTACAATTAAACTCTAAAATTTTTCATCATCATAATTTCTAGACAGAATTATCAAGACGGTCATGTAATTAAATGGAAATGCAAGTGGTGGTTCTTTGAGAAAAACCACAAAATGATAACTTTTTTTTACAATTTGAAAAGAATGACCATGCGGTGAGCTTTCTGATATAACACTGAATTGTTCGTAAACTCCGGTAAAATGAAAATGAGGGTTTGGTGGCAAGATTAAAATTAGTCATGGAATTTTCCACGAATATTTGAGGATTGAAATACAAAATACTGAACAGTGGTAAAATTTCGACCAGTATGGGATCATAATGTTAGTGATGGAAACCAGTGGGTACAGGGGCATAAGACTTTTGGAAGGATATTGATGTCCTGAAGGCATTAAATTTCCCCAGGCTCGCTGGGAAATTATTAAGAAGATGATGAGAACTTACCCCAGGGATTAGCACCCCAAGCACCATGACCGGCTCCCCAAGCACCATGACCGGCACCCCAAGCACCATGACCAGCACCCCAAGCACCGTCCCATGGACCACCCCAGCCAGTGACAGCAGTTCCACCAGTGACACTGCCGGAGACAACGGATGGACCCTGAACGGAACCAGTGACCACAGCACCACCATCAACAGCACCAGAGATTTTCGCAGGTCCAACTTGAGGTCCAGCTTGAGAAGTTGGTCCAAGAACTGGTCCGGCAAGGGCAGATGGTCCCAGAACTGGACCACCAAGAGCAACTCCATGTCCGGCCCAAAGTCCAGAAGGTGCAGCAGTGGCCACTGCAAGGGTTGCCATCAGCAAGAAAGCCGCGAATTTCATGATGAGAATTTTTCTTCACTTTAGAGTTGATTCTTGAATTGATGAGGACGTTGTGCTGCTTAACAGATGCATGTCACAGCTTTTATACTCGATTTTCTTAAGGTGTTCAATGCACTACCTCCTTTACACCCCTTTGGGTGGGGCTGGGCACGCCAAACATTCTCTCTCACTCTAATGTTGCTACCACTTATTCTTGTAGGCTTATCGCTTTTAGGTCGAATGTTTGCATGGGTTAGTGTCACATGAATAATATAATGCGAACGCCTCACAATCAGTCCCGTCCTACCTGGCCATTGTCGTCGGGTCACTGTATGTCTTGTTACATTCAGACTTACTAAACAACAATCACAGCCGGGATCATACTCTGGAATCTCTATTCTTATTTTTTTTTTTTTTTTCTTGCCTTCTCAATGACAAATTAAACAATAAGTGAAAGAACCTTCGCACACGGATCCATAAACAGGTTCAATAGAAACTAATTACAATTTCATTCCATTATATGAAGAAGGCAATTTTTATCAATTTTATTGTTCCCGTATTGCTATACGTACGTCGAATAATTGTCTCATAACTTTTGATGCTAATTGCTTTCACTGCGTTGCGCTCTATTTTTTTATGAAATTTATTTCATTAACCAAAAATCCAACTTACATTCTATATCAACTAAATTATTTTCGGGAATAAAAAACACAAAATTAATTATTAAGTATAATTATTAATCTTCGTATTCTTTCATTCATTCTGTCCGCAGTTTGAAGTTAGTTTTTGTGTATGGTTTTGTTTTTTTTTTTAAATATTGTTTGACAAATCAAAAATATGCCGGTAATTTTTCATGATTTGTAATAAAATAATATAACAAATTAGAAAATTAAGGAAAAATTATGATTAACAAATAAAAAAAATATAACCATTTTGTTTGTTATATGCTTTTTTTATAACAAATTTCGTTTGACTGATCTAAATTATTATGCAAATTATTCACCTTTTTATTTATAAAAAATACTAGAAAATTGTTAATTTGTAGAAAATTCTTAATTTTGCTAAGGAAATAATTTCCATCAATTCTATTTCTTAATTTTAATTGTTTTAATAAAATTCAAAGTTTCTTTAAAAATAAAGGAAAAAAATGTTTATAAATTATATTTGTCCATTAGAAAATTTAATTAAAAATGAAACTGAAAATTTTTAAATTGTTAGAAAATAGAGGAAAAAATTTTATTGAAAAAAAAATGTTCAGTTAAATTAATTTACGAATATCTTTAATTGTAATATTATTCGAAAACAATAATTTCTTGTTTAAATATCTTAAATATTTAATTATTATTATTCTTTCATAGGAATTAAGATTTTCAAAAATTTCAAATTCAAACCATTTTGAAATTAATCAATTTTAAAAATATTTTTATAAAACATAAAGATAACGATTACTTCGAGTTTTCAACTAGGAGTGATGGATTTTTTCATATTTTATAATAATTAAAGAGGATTGAGTGTTAAAAACATTATTTTATATTATAAGAATATTGTTACTGTAACTTCCTAAAAATTATTTTCAAATTCTACTATTATTTAAAATTTAAACTAAAATTCATTTTCAAATCAATTTTTATTAGAAAATAATTCTACGAAGATTCAATTATTTAAATACAAAAGTAAATTATTTATTGAATAATTAAATGTTTTTTAAAATTTAATTCTTATAAAGAATTTTGTTAACAAATTTTTAAAAAAGTGAATTCTTTTGACGAATTAAAATATAATTTTTTAAAATAGTTACATTTTTCAAGGAATTCGATTAAAATTGTATTAAAAATAATTGAAATTCTGCGATGAGTTTTATTTCTGAAAATAATTGAATTATTACGAAGAAACTTATAAAATATTTGTAAATAATTGAATTTTTTTGGGTATTTTTATTTAAATAGAAGATATTGAAAATCATTGAAATGAGGATAATTTTTTTAAATAATTGAAATTTTGACAAGAATTTTATTAAAATTGTTGAAAATAATTGAATTTTGAAGAAGAATTTTTTTATTTATAAAGATAATAATTGGGATTTTGTCGAGATTTTCTTGTAAATTTTGAACCATAATTGAATTTTGTGATAAGAATTTTATTACTTTTGAAAATAATTGAATTTCTCCAATCATTTGTAACTTCCTCAAAATTCAATTTTTTTAGTGTTTTTAACTAAAATTCTTCTATAAATCCATTATTTTTAATAATTAATTAAATAAATATTGTCAAATTTAGCTAATTTTAGAAGATTTTGAATTATTAAAATTTTTCTAAAATCTAAGTTCATTAAAATTTCTAGTTAAATTCATTCAACATTGAAATTTTATAAAATTTCAAATTGAAACCATTTGAAGTTCATTTATTTATGAAAATTGTAAACGCAACTCTTTTAAAATTGAATTAGTTTTGAAATATTTAAGTAAAATTATTCATTAAATAATTTATTTATTTTTTGATAGTTGTTGGAGATTTTAGTTATTGAAAAAGAAATTTTCGTCAGATAATAAAAAAATTGAAGGTTTTGTATTAGAATTCGTGGTAATTTTATAGTTTATGAGTCAAACAAAAAAGACACAAAAATTCAGAATTTTCTTATGAATTCTAAAAATTTAATTTGTTTAGTACTTTGAATAAAAATTGCTGACTGTTTCCTGAATTTCCTATGTCAGAATATATGATTATAATTATAATAATATTAAAACTATATATTTTAATTCATATTTTATTTATTAAAAAAATTTGAATTAAAAATTTTTACGTTCTATTTTATTTAAATTGATAATTTTATTGAAACAAGTGAGTGAGAAGTCAGCTAGTTATGTTGCTAGTTCATAATTCATTAAAAATTGAACTAAACAATTTGAGTTATGAGAAATTTAAAAATAAATGTTTTATGAAGTAAAAATGAAGGCAAAGTTCCATTTGAACTTATCTAGATAAATTGTTAAATTTAATAAGATTTTCTCTTCTATCGAACTCAAAGGAAAATGTATTAAACTTGCATCAATTTTAAATGAACAGTGAGAGAAGAAGAAGAGGTAAAGAAAAATATCAATCCAATGACACCATTAACCACCGAAACATAAAACGCACTCTAAAGATTCATTTTCTAGAAGAGAAAAAATAAATTTTTTTTCATTTGAAAAACATATATGTGAAATTTTAGATGTAAAAAAAAATTAAAATTTACAGAAATACGAGGAAAAAAAATGGGAATTGCCAATATTGCCAATAAGAAAGCACCAAGGAAAAAAAGAAGAATTGGGGTAGAAATTGAAGCTTTAATGCTGAAAGACTCTATCATCTTTGGAAACATCGTTCTTTAAAGCATCTTGGAAAAGGAGAAATGAAAAAGATTTAATAGAAAAGACATGTGAAATTCCCAGCTACAAAGAAAATAAATGTTGAATTGAAATCTACAGCAAGCGTGGAAAAAAAAGGTACAGAATTCCAGCAAAAGATGGAATACCTTAGAAAAGACTTGCAATTTTTTATTTCTTCAAATTTTCCTATAAAAATATCAAAGAACATCTAAAGGTTAAAAAATAAAAAAAAATTAATAACTTTTAAATTTACTTACACTTTCAATGAATTTGCGGGAAAATGAAAAATCTTTCTTCATATTTTATAAAATAAAGAAAAATTATTTTTTGTTTATTTTAAAAAATTACTTTCAGAATGTTCCCAATAGACGATGGTGTAAAATAATTAAAACACTACTGTAATTCTTCACATAATTTCTCAGGTATCCCTGGGGGCTTTTTTTAAATTATTAATTTTGGAATAACAAAGAAGCCAATTTTTTAGAGAGGAAATCGGCTTTTTGGGCTTCCAAGTGCTACGAAAAAATTAAAAAATTAAAAATCCTCCTAGAGTTACCACAAGTAACATCTCTTTTAATAAATGCATTCTTGAAATAACTTTTTTTGGAGGCACCCTGATGAGATTCACATTCACTTGCTTAATTCTAAATATTGTGCCATGCATTATATGAAAATTTTGATTAATTCAATTAATTCTCTTTCTCTCTCTCTGTATGGAAAAACAATTTTTATAAATGGGTGATTCTCCCGAAATACTCCTTTTTGTGAGTTACAAACAGAAAAGAAAAAAAATTATTATTTATGGATTAATGCAGTCAATTATATTGAGCTTTCAAAAATCTACCACCTCTATAGCATGATCATGCTAACTTTTAGCTTTTAAAGTATATATTTTAAATTAAAATTTACAAAAAAATTAAGAGGTTAAAATTTGGCGCCGGCGTTTTTTATTATATATATTTTTCTATTTACAAAAAATTATTTAAAAATTATAATTTATTAATATTATCTATAAATTTTATAGATTTTGAAATACTTACAGTTATCAAAAATCTCTTTAAACAATTGTCAAAAATTATTTTTCATACATTTTAGGTTCACTTTTCACTGGCAGTTTGTAAACAACCGACAATCATATCAATTTTTAATTTTTATTCAAAAAAGTGAGAGGAATGACGGGTGAGAGGAATGACGATTTCAACATTTTTTAATTTTATTTAATTGACAAATAATTTTCCTCCAGCTTAGAATGCCCTATCATGTTTATAAAGGATAACTTTATGTGAAAAAAATTTGCGATCAATTTATATATATTAATATTGTTTTTATTAGGGGTGAGAGGAATGACGCTTTAGGTTGTGAATCTCTGCTTATGTCTCAATTTTAATTTTTTTAACGCAAAATAATAACATTTTTTAAAAAGTAACTTAAGAAATTAATATTAGAGATGTTAATTTAAATATTGATCACAATAATTAATCAATATCTCTACCCACAGCAAAAATATTGGATAATATTAAACGAGTGAGAGGAATGACGCGGTACTACATGACAAATTTCATTTTCTATATTTAAAAAAACTACACGACATATTTTATTTATATTTTTGAAAATTATTCTTAAATATCATAACTTTTAGAAAAAATTAATAAAGTACCAATTTTCATGTTTTAAATAATTGTTTTACCTATTGAAAAAATGAAAAGCACTTAGATGACAGGTTAGAAAATCGATTTTGAGGTGGTAAAATATTTTAAAAATGTATTAAA